CTGAAGATGATGGTGTGGTTAAGTTCTCAAACCCATTATTGGGTTTTAAAAAAAAATCATATTTTTATATTTGTTTGTGTGAAATGTTTCGTTTTTAAATATATTTTATTGTACTTGTTATTTTGAGATTTATTATATTGCTTTTTTGCTTTGTTTAATTCAACGCAGATGGCTTGTTGTTGTGTTTTATTCTAAATCTATTTAATTTTTTAAGAATGTACTGTAAATATTGTGCAAAATGTCCAATAATTCAATAATTTAATACAAAAATCATGATGAACAGTAGCCAGTGATCACTTAAAATGAGGTAAACAACTGGTATACCTGCTGTAAGCTATATCAAAATAAAAGTCTATTCACTGCAGCATGCATCGGAGTCATTCCTTACATTTAAAGGTACAGTTTACCCCAAAAAATGCAAATTTTTTGTTTATTTCTTTCAAAAATATCTTTTAGGTTTATTTCTTTTAAACACAAAAGAGGAGATTTAAAAAAAAAAAAATAGCTGGCACCCTTTGGCTTCCATGGTATTTTTTACTACTATGGAAGTCGATTTTGCAGCATTTTTCAAAATATTTTTTTGAAGTTCAAAAGAATAAAGAACTTGTAAAAGTATAAAACCACATGACGCATAATAAACGATTAGGTAATTTTGATTTTTAGGTTAACTATCCCTTCAATTAAGACAGCACCAATGTTTATTGATTCATTTAGCTTAATCTTCTCTACTATTCTCCCAATTGACTACAAACAGCCACATGGGGGAGCCAGTTGTCTCAAGAACAACATTAAGTTCCTGTTGGCCTTTAGAAAGCAAACCACCCAACCCAAAACCCACTTTAGCCACAGATGATGTGTACACACATCAAATCTAGAAGGCCAAAAACAACAGGGAAGCTTCCCCACCTCGCAAAAGTACCAAATGCAATGTTAAGGTCAAGAAGAACAGTGTTTTAAGGTCAATATTTAGTACAGTCTAGTTTGGTTGGTCTCCTGAAATAACATTGACATTTGAAGTATCGAGTCTCCATGGATTACACTGTATAAAGTTGAAATTTATGTCCAAAAATGTGGTCTCGCTGACAAGCTGTACCCGCAAAAAACACTGACAGCTAATTTCAAATGCTATGAGTCACAATTATGAATTCCCCGCATCTTTAAATCCTCTTTTTTTTTGTTGATTCCTCTGCCCACACTGAAAAGTCACCTCACCTTCGCACCTTCAGTTATGTCATATTGCGGTTGACAAATCATAGCAAGACCGGGATGAGTTGTATATTGCATAAAGTGCATGTGCCGAAAGCATTTTGTGCTTTACTTTAAGGCATGGATCTCAAACTCGATTCCGGGCCGCAGCTCTGCAAATACCTGTTAAAAAACACCAGTTATCCAACTAATTAAAGTGTTCAAGAGTAGTCTAGAACACCTGAAATAGTTGGATTAGCTGTGTTTTATTAGGGTTGGAGCAAAACTGTGCAGAGCTGCGGCCCTCCAGGAACTGAGTTTGAGACCTATGCTTTAAGGTAAACTGTATTATTGTATACTTTCAGAAATAAAGGTACACACGAGGTGTCACTGGGGTGGTATCTTTTCAAAAGGTACACATTTGTACTTAAAGGGTCTATATTGGTATCTCAAAAGTATAAAATAGCACCTAGAAAATTTAGGAGAAACACTTTTCCACTTTTTAGGTACTAATATGTACCCTTGAGGTATTAATATGGACCTTTTAGGTACAAATTTGTGCTTAAAATTTTATTTCTGAGAGTGTGTAATAATAAGGTACAGTAGGTGACACTTCAATGTTGGCATTACTGCCGCACCCTTTACCGCCGCCGCTCTAAAGAAGTAAGAACATGTTTTTTAGGTATGACCGCGGTTTGCGACTATGATGGCAGGGGGCACAAACAGACAAGATTCGAACAGACAGAAAGAGCCTATACATTAGCTGTAAGTACTCTACTACTTGTAAATAAAGATAAACAATCAAACAAAGCATTATAATTCCTTTATTAATCATTAAAAAGACAATTAGGTTACATTATTTAAAGCCATTCATTATTACACTGATTGGATCAAACTTTTGATTCCTTTTTCAATATTAACATATTTTCTTTAAAATCGAAATGTATATTTTCCTGCCAATGATATTAAACAATTCGCCTGAACATCCTGCCAGCAGCTATGAAGCATTATTAAATCTTTATTTTTCCAAGGAGCGGAACAAATCACCATTGCACAATTGGACGAGCACAAACAAAAATATAATTTGTATATTTTTCTTTTATAAAATATCTTTTTGAAACGAATTTCATTTGCTATAATTTGTATTTTAATTCTAATGTGTTTTTCGTTGGTCATTAACTACTAGATAAAAAAATAACGAATTATCTTTGAAATGAAGTGCTTCAAACGCAGTGAACAGTTCATTTTCAATTTTTTTATTTTATACGGTTCCTTTTACAGCATCGATGTTGTAAAGTGATTAAAATACAATCAGTCAAACAGACTTCAACATTAATTTAGTTTTTTAACTGTAAAACAAGATGAAAAGCCATTTATACGCAGGCACTGTCAGGATCAGCAGGCTAGCGCAGAAAATCCATTGAAAAATACTGGGGTGTTCATATTTTAAAGACATGGCGCAAAAAAATATTATTGACGCAATGCTTCTTGCACATTCTGAGACCTCCTTTATGTTGTACATCATTCAGGCAGTGGAGATCATTGTTTTTTAAAGAAAACAGACCTTAAACACACCAATTTACACACTGTTCACCAGAATCGCTTGATCCAGGTTACTGAAAATTCTGTAAGTCCTTCTGCATACTTCTGCACAAATCCAATTCATGCAGCATGACCCCTAAAATAAAAACAAAGACAAAACAACTTCAAATGGTTTTGCCGGTAATAATCAGCTCCCATTTTTTGGAAATCTTACTGTTTTCCTTGGTGCAGTTCCTCTCCTATTAGTTGCTGAATGATGCAGAAAACCATTTGTGGAAGCAAATCTTCCATTTTTAAAGAAACATGATATGGGTAAACTTTTTGCTTCTTCCTCCACAAGCCTGACCTCTCATCAGTATCACAGAAGATATACAAGTGGTGTCATTTTTCATATCTGTGGTTTCATAAACAACACTTCTTGCCTTGTACTCTGAGATGAACTCCTTGCACTCGCATAAATAATCGCTTCCGTTATGTATAGTGAAACAGGATTAACTGTTTGTGTGCCTTGAAATAGATTGTAAATTAGAAATGAAACAGAAAAGCACCTTTACCTGTAAGTAAAAACTTGCTTTAGCACGCAGGACTGACTGGAGAACTGTTTGTCAGCATAATTCTGCAGACATATGCAAAGCAATTGAACTTAACCTTTATTTGTCAATGCCTGTTTATGCACCGTCAACCATTTCCTGTTAGCTTGTGGCTTTTTTTTTTTTTTTTTTTTTTTGCAGATGCATTGAGCAGAGTACTATAATATACTGTCACACATTTTGCTCCAGTAAATATGTTTTCTATTCTCTATGCTATTTTTGAAGGTTCATTTCTTTATACAAACTCTGTGTTAAGATTCGATTTTGTTACAATAAAAAGTTTCAAAGTTGCCGGTGTCTACAATCACAATACTTTGTGCATTTGGCAGACACTATTATAAGAAATGATACATTATAATCATATTGCATTCATTGTACACTCATTACACAATACTTTACACTATGCTAAAGGTTTGGAGCATCTTTTGAATAAAAATTTTCATTAAATAAATTAAACAATGTTCTGATATATTTCCTCATAAATTGTGGCCCATATTAACGTGATAGCAATCACTCCATTGCTGCGGATTTGTCTGCGGCTCATCCATGATATAAATCTTCCATTCCACCACAACCTAAAGATGCTGTAATAGACTGAGATCTAGAGTTTGTGGAGGCCTTGAGTATAATGAGATTTAATTCAAGCCTTATTGACATGGTAGAAGAAGCCATAAATGCAGAATGGGTTAATTTTTTCATGCTGCTTGAACCAAATTTAAATCAGACCATCTAAATGTTGCAGACAAGTTGATCCCACGTTATGTGCTTACATTAAAATTAATAATTTGTTACAATGTACTTATAGTGGAAAAACATGTGTTTACATTGTACTTATGATTTATTAAACACATGCATGTAATTGGATTTTTGATTATACTGTTGACCATCCCTTACAACTTAACCCACCTTTAAACCTACCCATGCCACCAAACCCTTCCCTAACCCAGCCCTTATCTCATCTCAAGAGCAGCACAAGTGTTCTGGGATACATTACGAACACAATAATTACATTGTATTCATTTTTTGATGCAAGTACATTGTAATTAAGGCCACTTAATAAAAAAAATGGGACCAGGAAGTTTCTTCCACTATTATTGTCCAATTTTGGTGAGTCAGTGTGAATTATAACCTTGGTTTGGCGTTTTTATTCTTCTTCTGCTGCTGTTGCTCTTCTTATTCAAGTTTTGTTCTTGGTTGTAATGATTACAACCAAGATTGCATCCTAATTATTTGAAATACTGCTGTTTTCTGTCAGCCTGAAGCAGTCTGGTTATTCTCCTCTGACATCTGGCATCAACAAGGTGATTTCACACACAGAACTGTCGATAAATAGATCCGCCTATCTGATGCTAACAACAATTTTTCCATTCAAAGTCATTTAAACAACCTTTTTTTCTGCACTCCAAGATTTGAACTTCAGCACATTGTCTTGACTATGTCAACATGCCTAAGGGTATTTAGCTGCAACTATGTTATTGTGTGATTACATATTTACATTCACGAAAATCTGAATTCACCTATTAAAGTGACAATAACATGATTGGTTCCTTAAACCTCTGGGAATCCCCGGCATGATTTAAATATTGAATGTCATGGAATAAATAACAACGAGACATTTAAAAGTACACTGAAAGAAATGATTCAAAGATGATTCATAGGATTAACTAAATTTCTTTTAAGGTAAGTGGTTATAAACAAATTTATTGGACTGAATTTAAACAAACACATTAAGCTGAACAATTAAGCTTTCTACATTTAATTTGTTTAAATTTAGTCCATATGCATTGTTTGCAGCAAATTTGCAGAAACCCTTTTTTTTTCTGTGTATTTTGCATAATTCAAGCAACACTAACAGTCTAACAATACCTAAATTATCTAATACTCAGAAAAACATTATTTATAGTAGGACTGCATGGTATTGGAAAAATCTGACATTGCAATATTTTGTTTTGCCATGATATATATGAGCAACATCACACGAGTAGGAGTGCAATATGGCTGTTTATTGGCTCTGGCTCCTGCCTTAGTGTCCCACCAGCGATGATATACAGCCATATTGCACTGCTACGAGTGTGATATTGCATATATACAACAGTCTGACGACATAATATGAAAAAACGAAAATCAAACACAAAGAGTCTAAAAATCTATTTGTATGAGGAACTACTTTCTTCGGCCATTCATTTACATCTGCAGCCTACGTTAGAAGAGCAGAAACCATTGCTGATTGATACATGTCACTTTAGGGTGCTTTCACACCTACACTTTTGTTTCAGAACCTGTCTCGTTTGCCCAG